TGAATACATTGAAAGCAGAAAACTCATGGCCTTTGATTTCCCGAGGAATTTATACAAACAGAGAAATGAATCAGGTTTTCTGGCTGTCTCGGTACGTGCTGTGGAAATGCTGGAGAACCAACACAAATGCTCCTGGAGGAAAGAAAGCTTTTATTCCCATCTACATCATTACAGATGCAGGGAGTGTAAACGCTGCAGGCACCTATCTCCAAACTCACGGCAGCGTTTTGCCTCAAGCTGAGCAAATGCTTTACCCCAACATGTCTATTTCTGTTTTTTCCACAGAAATTTGTAAGGAACTGGTTTGTGGAACTTACAGATGAAGAGTTGAAAGTCCAGCATCTGAGAATTTTTCCTCTATTGTGAAAACACTTTCTCCATCAGAGCTTCAGATTTAAGCTTTTGCTCAGCTTAAAAAGGTATCTCTAAACAAATTGATGTTCGTGATCATTACAGTTGTTTTCTTCCTTTAAAAATACAATGTGCAGGTTTTCAGTCTCTGTGTCAGTGCTGGTGTGGGGCCTGGCAGATTGTATCTGTTTCTGTAGGTGTGCACCTTAGAATTGCTTTTACGCTTGTCTAACTTCGTCGTTCAAAAATGTTACGTTCACTTTTAAAAATTGAGTTTAATTGATTCTTAAAGCACACATCACTTAAGCATATTAAAGTCCTGATTTGGTGGTTACATGACAGTTGCTATGGATCGTTTAAAGTAAAAATGAACAAATACCTGTGAATTTACAGCGCGGGAATGCTTCTCATTAAGCTTTAAGCACAATGACAAAATGCATCTGTGTTTTACACGTCAAAAGCCCCGTTACACCTCTCAGCTTCAGCATGCATAACTGCTTTTAACGTGACTACCTTCCTGATTTTGCAATATGGACTTTGGATTACAATGCAAGGTACGCAACCTTACTCCTATTGCCCACCTCAGTTCAATGCTCAGAAAAATTAAGAAAACCAGACTGATTTAAAAACACTAGTAGTAAAGCAAAACAAGCCCGATGCGCTAATGCCAGGAAATTATTTGGGGATTTTTCGTTGTTGCAACCTCTGAAACCGAGAGCGGAGGAGTCTATGTGGATGAGCACACAGCAAAGCACATGGAGGACGATTTTGCAAGCCTTTCCTAAACCAGCACTTATGCCTGCTTTCTTTGGTGCTTGGTCGGAGCCCACATTCTGTAGATGAAAAACAGTACGATGAGATAGTACATGAAGCTCTTGAGAAGAAGGACGATGTACACTAAATATGCCGTCCTGTGCATTAAGTGATCTGTAACAAACATAGGACAGAAAAGTCTTGTTTAATGTCAGTATCGTACAACCTCCTAAAAGATGGGTAGAGCTGGGAATGTAGTGTTTACTGCTGCAACTCTGTTGATTCCAGTGGACAGTGTATAAACACATACAATGCCTGACTGTCCTTTGAGTGGGTTTGCACTGCTAATAAGGTCTAGACCGAGTGGGTTTCTTAGCACTAGAAACCTCTCAATGCCACTGGGTTATTACTCCCTGCAAAGGCAAGAACATATTTCTAGTGCTTCATTGATTACTACTAGCACTATGTTTGCTTGAATCCTTCTGTGTTGCATTTTTAGGACATAAGTTCTCACGAGCCTTCCTAAATCCTCGTTCAAACTATAAGAAAATTTCTTTGTCCAAGGTGCCAGGCAATTGCTGGGCTGATGAAGCATCAGCTGAAGCGTCGAGCATTTACCTACTTCAGGTATTTAAAAAAGGGGCACTTAGTGCGGGCTAATAATCTAGTAGCTCAAACAGCATCTGTAGCATCCTAATAAAGTTCCTTATAAAGGTAGAAAAAACCCTTCTTATAATCCACAACAGGAACTAATTCAGAGTAGGACCGAAGCATTAAGTTACAGACTCCAGACTTCAAAGGTTTCCTATACGCTAGTTAGATCATTTTCCTGGTGTTCTGAGCATATGTGGCAATATCTAACCCTTGCATGACATGCGTTGCTTTCCCACATTTTAATAGATTTTAGTTACCTCCATTAAAATCTGTGCCGTTTCCAGGATATGTGGCGCAATCCACTTCTGGAGCCTTTGCAGAACCTGATGAAGAGACTGTTTAAATCCCCCGGTTAGATTTTTCTTTAATTTTAACAAGCATGAATTGAGAAATAGACTGTTTAAATCCCCCGATTAGATTTTTCTTTAACAAACATGAATTGAGAAATAGGGAAAAAAAATGGCAGGACAGCAACAGTGAAATGGGAAGTTAGTATTAAACAACAAAAAGAAAATGTTTAAGATCTGTCTGCAGAGAAGATGTTCAAAGATGGGATTTGTTTGCAGAGAGAATTTGAAGGGGAGAAATGCTCCTAGAGAAGTGAGTAGGTATTAGTTGCTGTAGGTGGAAGGTTTGCCTTTGCCCTTTCAGCAATGTGTCCGTTAGGCCGTTCCTTGGCAGCATCTCTTTTATTTGGAACTGAAGTCAGTTTAACCAACTGATGTTGTCACTGAAGTAGCCTGTTTGCCTTCACAACTTACTGTTATTTGAAATAAGAATAATTTACATCAGAAGGGACCTTAAGTAGTCTGTTACTTAATGGTTACTCAACACTAAAGAATAATCTTGAGGACAGGATGAGCTAAGGTTCCCCTGTTGGGAATTAGCTATTTCGGTGGTGGTTTGTTCTCTAAAATAAACCCTTTTTGTGCTGGAAGCAGCAAATTTGTGTTTGGTTTTGGTTATGGTGTTTGTATGCATTGGTACATGAGCTTAAAGACATCCATATCTTATCCCTAAATACATCCTCCATCTAAATAAACTTAAAGCGTGTTTTGGTCAGAATATATTTTGAAGCTTGAAACGTCAGTTATTTATGGCCATGCTCTCTCTCACTGGAGTTACTTTAATTGATAGGAAGTTGAACAGAAGTAGGTACTGAGAAAAGATTAATCTAAACCGATATAGGTGGCTTTTCATAAAGATGTTACCGAGATTTAAACAATTTGCATTGATTATAGGTTACTTTGTTCTTTAAAACTGCATTGTCTTTCAGATTTTGCTTTGCGTAATCAATCTTTCCATAATTAAATGAGTTATCTTATTTTCATACATGGTTAGTACCTCACTATTGCTGGACTATGAGTAAGTAATATATTTAATCTTTGCTCTGCATGCCCAGAAACCTCAATTTTAACTTCTTAGTGACTAACGTCAGGGGGTTTCAGAGAGGCTTACACCTTGTAAGCCACGGGTAACAGAGAGGTAACACTGTTTTCAGAAACTTCTGTAGACTGGAAAGTAACGGACCCGGCTCAGCGCAGACCTTTTGGAGCTGTGCTAGTTTACACCTGTTGAGGTTCAAGAACTGCTCCTTTCCTATTGCAAAGGGACATTCACTTGGGGAGCATAGTGCAGGCTGGGTTGCTTTGCCTGGGAAAACCTTGGTAGTTTCTCCAGATGTGTGTTTTAGCTCTTGTTGTGTCAAGGAGCAGGTGCTTTCGAGAACAGTAACAGAAAGCATTATTTCTATGATTTTATGGCAAAGAAAAAGTCATGTCTATAATAACACGTAGAATGAAATTTAAAAAAATGTGGAGTATACCTTGTGTCGGCAGCGAATCCTGTTTGCCTTCATGCTCGTATTTGCAGTGATAGTTCTTGTCTTTGTCTGTTGGTACAGTTAACCAGCTGCTGATGGAGTATTTATCCTCTTTTGTAGACTTCCAAGGGTCTCCTTTTACTACGTTGTCTGTTACCTCTTTTTGTCCGTCGGTCCATGTCACGCGAATAACATCTGGGTAGAATTTCTCGATAAGGCAAACGTACGTTGTCTGATTTTTGTCTTTCCTCTCCAGGATTTCAGAGTTTTCTGGTGCAGAATTTCCTTTGTCTGGATTGGTTATTGGAGGAAAAAAAATAACGAAATAGAGAGTTAGAAGATCAATAGTGCACAGCAAATAAATACGCAGCCACAAAATACAAATTCTGAAGAGCTACAACCTTAAGTGTCTTATTAACATATGTTTTAACTCTCTAAGTTGTTATGAAATACTTGGGATGGGAATATAAATGTCTCATGTATGAAAGGAATTTTAGGTAATAGGTGGATGAATTACAGCTGTTTCCATCGATGAAGCAAAAATACGTTTTTAGCTGAGCTGGATGAAGCTGGCATTCAGACACACTTTATATTAAATATTATTTCAATGGACCCAAATGGCGAGTTTTAATTTTCAGTCAAAACCAGTTACAATACTATTTAGAATAACTGGGAATAGAAAATATGACTTTTAATCTTATTTTTAAATGTGTTTTTTTTTTATAAAGAACTAAAATGAATAGAGACTTTTATGTGTATGGTACAGAAAATCAAGCTTAAAATCAGAAGGCAAGACTCAATTCAAATATTCTAAACTCATTTTTGTTTAGACAATGTAGAGTCTTCCCGAGTCCAGAGAATGTTTGATCTAAGCTCTGATACTGTGCCGTGTGCATGGAGAAACATCATTTAAGTCCTAAACTACTTAGTGAACATCTAAACTGCTTCATTGTCATCCTTGTCTAGTAGCACAACTGATAGAGGAAGACTAGAGTAGATGAGATCTGCTCTTTAATACTGATGCTACAGTGGCTTAAAAAGCATAGCACAAAAGATTTCTTGAGTATTTTATCAGAAAAACAAATATAAGCCTGGTTATTTGAAATCTTAGAAACCTACGAAAAATATTTGAAAATGTATTTTTAAGAAACTTTCAGAAACGGAACAATTGTTGAAGATATTAATAATCTCCCTTGAAACTACGTTAGAAAACTTCAGGTGAGTGTGTGAGAGCCTTTATCCCACAGCTTTCCACGCAGTACTGCTGTCAGAAAGTGTGTTTGTTTGCACAAGTCTTCGACAATTATAAATAATGGCAATAGTTCCTGAGCGAGCTTTGTGCATTTATTTGATAAGAGAAATTTAATATTGCTTTCTAATGTTTATGCAAAAGCAACTACATCAAATTTTTGGTTAGAGAATGTTAAATGTAGACTACCTGCCTTTCAAATCTTAGCAGTTTTATGTCCCCGGTCTAAGTCTCCACTGCTAATTAATGAACATCTGCTGTATCTAATGATTTTCTTAAAAGCTGATAATATATTTTTTTTTTTTAAAGGCAACAAACATTTATTGTTGGCAGTTTTTGGAAGACATTCTGTGTATTTGCCAGGTAAAAATCTTGATGAAGATAGAAAAATGGAATTACACAATGCTCTGGACATCAAAAGTTGGCAACGAGGTTCCCTTTATATTAGATGTGTTTAAATGTTTGAATTAACACATCTGGAAAGGAACAACCAAAACTAAACTAAAGCAGAAGAACGTGCTATACCTAGATAACATTTCTGTATCCAGATATAGCATTATTTATCCACACCGGGGTGGTTGTCAGTGATGTGCTTTGTGAAACGTGCTCAGTATGAACATAGAATCATAGAATCATAGAATGGTTAGGGTTGGAAGGGACCTCAAAGATCATCTAGTTCCAACCCCCCTGCCATGGAC